ACATGAGGAAAGCCGTGGGTGATCTCCAGGAGGAAATCAAGTCGCTCCAGAGAGCAAAGTCCTCCCTGGAACAAAGCACTTTCTTCCAAAGCACAGAAATCGAGGGCCTCAAGGAGCAGCTGAAGATAACACAAGGGGAACTCCACAAGAAGGTTTCCACAGAGCAGGAGAACATCTACAAGATTAACAACTTTGAAGAGGAAGTAACATGTAAACAGGCAGAAATAGATCAGTTGAAGTTTAAATGCAGCGAGCTGACGAGAATTAATGTTTCGTCTACCAATGATGTTCGAGGGCTTCAACTTCTGACCGAGTCCCTGGAGAAAGAGAGGTCGTTAAATGAGAAAAAGATCAAGTCTTTAAAGAGTGAAATGGAAAACTGGAAGCAGAAACAACAGGCGGTCGAGGAGGAAAACAGTTCACTGAAAAGATCTGAGCAGGCCTTAAAACTCAAATGTAAAAATGTTGAAGCTGAGCTTGAGAACAGGGAGTTAGTTATATCACAGCTGCAGAAGAAATTGGAAGAGTTAAAACAGATAAACACTGAAACAGACAAGAATTTGAAGAACATGAGAGATAACCTGGATCAGATGATGGCTGAAATTAACACGAAAGACCAGCAAATTCAAATCTTTAAGTCTCAGGTAGAGGCCACCAAATCACAGATTAGGATTGTTGAGGAGGAACTTGATAAGAAATCCCAGACGTCCCATGATCTTCAGATTAAGATGCAAGATTATGGTGAAGAAATGAGGAAAATGAATGAGCTGCAGCACAAAACTAAAACACACAGTTCAGACATTGCCAACTTTGAGAAAGAAGTGTCGAGCTTGAAATCAGAGCGAAACTTACTGATTGTTGAGAAGAATTTAGTAAATCAGAAAGTGCAGCGGCAGGATGTCGAGATTAATGATTTGAGTATGATGCTAAAGAAAGCAAATGCAGAGCTGGAAAAACAGTCGGCTGAAAACCAAAAGCATTGTTGTAAAATCAAGGCTTTAGAAGATGAGCTTATCAATCAGAAACACAGCACAAAAGACTTGACCAGCAGTTCAGAGAAAGTGACACAGAGTCTCAAACAGCAGTTGTATGTCCTTCAAGATGAGAAGGAAGCATCAGAGAGGCAGATAGAGAACCTCAATGTCAAACTTTCAGATTTGAGTGCCTCCCTGAAAAAATCTAAAGATGAACTGACCAGAGAGATCAGAGAGAGACAAGTGAGAGAGTCAAAAATCCTGCAGATGGAGTGTGAGCTCCAAAAAACGAAACTTAATCTGAATCCTGACAAATCCCAATCAAACATGCAACATGAGAATACGATGCTAAAGAGGGACAAAGCTGAGGTTCTGGAAAAGAACATATCGCTGTGTTCTGAAATCAAAACGCTCAAAGAAAAATGCGAACATGCTGAAAAAGAAGCCGAGCAAAAGCACAGAGAAAACTCGGTGCTTCAGCTGAAATCCCAGCAAATGGAAGAGCAGCTGGAGAAGTGTAAGAAAATGTTGGATGAGTTGAAAACAAAATTGCAGCTTCAGAAGGAGGGCTATGAGAAGCAGTTAGTGCTGGTGCAGAGGGAGGTGGAGAAGAAACTCAGTTTACTTCAGGCCGAAATCTCCGGTGAGGAGAAATCGAAGCAGCAGTCCCAAAGTTCTGAATTAGCAGAGATGCTGAAATATTTTAAACAAGACGTTTCACCCATAAAAACAGCAGTAAATCAGAGTAATCTGGCGTCAACTCAAGAATCAGCTCCAAAACAGCTGCAGGTCCAAATGGACCAACTGCAGCAGGAAAACTCTAAACTCAGCCAAGACTTGACTAATGCAAAATCAAAGATTTCACAACTAGAGGAAGATAAACTCAAGCTCAGTTTAAAAATTAATGCACAACGGGGCCATGGCAATGAAGAGTTGAGTGAGTCAGATAAAATTAAACAGTTATTGAAGGACAGTGAGGGTAAAGTGACAACGAAGGAACATGACGAGAGAACGCTTAGGGAGCAAATGCAAGCATATGTGAAAGAGGTAAAGGGCCTTCAGGAAAAGATTCTAAAAGTGGGCTTAGTGCCAAAGACGGACAACCCCAAGATGAACAAACAGGAAGTGAACGAAACCAGCCGCCAGCAGGAGAAAGACAAGCCTTTAAATGTAAATGTGATGGCGCCACAGAAGATGACATCTTCACATGAAGGCAGCACAGAGGATAAAATTTACAAAATGAAAATTCTCCCTGAGGTACGGATGGTGTTAGTTTCTTAACATTTAAGTATTTATTTTAGCATGTTACAGGTTTAACATAGTCATTGTAACTTAAAGAATCTTTCAATATCACATCTGCAGATGACAGCAGTGGAGAAAGGAACCAGTCTTGACAGAGTGAATCCCCTCAAACAAGACCAAAGCCAAGCAACTCCAGGCCAATACCTCCTTGAATCTAGAACAAAGAAAAACTTCAGTAGTTCGACACCTGTTAGAAAGTCAAGTGGGTCAAGTCTGTTAGAAACAGACTTGACCCACAAGTCACCAAAAACGGCTGTTGAGCAAGGCACCAAAGAGAAGCTTGGACACATGTACCCAGGTGGACCAATGGACCCACAACAGAAAGAAACTCACAGCATTACGAGAACAAAAATCTATCAAATCACACAAACTTGCGAAGCCGTTAACATTTCAGAGAAAGATTCTGCCGGTGGTGATGTGACCACGATTTATTCAACTCCTCAAAAAGGCAGCACTGTCAAACAAAACCTGATTAACTCAAAGGTCTTTGAGGAAACTCAGTATCTTGGTAAACCTACTGCTATCGCTGGGGTTTATGTAGAATCGAGTAAGAAAAAGATATCCTTTCTTGAAGCTGCTGAAAAGGGATTTTTAGCCAAGACGTATGCTCTAGAATTTCTGGAAGCCCAGGCTGTAACAGGAAGCCTCACAGATCTGTCTACAGGACAGACCCTGTCAGTTGTCCAAGCTCTGGAGAGAGGTCTTATAGATAAAGGCATAAAAGACAAACTCAAAGAGGCGGAGAAAGCTGTCATTGGCTATGAGCATGCTGGGAAAAAGCTGTCAGTTTTTCAGGCGATGGAGGGCAGGCTCCTCGACAGATACAAAGGTAAGAGGTTCCTCGAGGTTCAGGCTTCTACTGGAGGACTGATCAATCCAGACACTGGCGTCAGGGTTCCAACAAGTCTTGCTGTGGATCAAGGTCTTCTGAACAAGGATACCCTCCGGACTCTGTATGATCCTGTCAATAACCCTAAGGGTTTCCACAACCCTGACACCGGACAGAAGGCATACTACTCAGAAATACTGAAGACTTGCCTCTACGACATCGATGGCTGTGTCCTCCTCTACCCATTTGGTGACAGACGTCTCACAGATTCTTCTCCCTCGAGCACTCACAGGGTGTCTGTTGTCAACAGCAGCGCTGGAGTTGAAATCTCAGCATATGAGGCATTTAAAGGCAATCGCATTGACAAGAGGACGTATCTGTCCCTGTCACGGCAGGAAAGCGACTGGCAGGAAACGTCCACAGTTGATGCCAGTGGTACCACAGTTCATATTATAACTGATGTCACAAGTGGTAGACAACTTTGTTTGGAGTCTGCTCTTAGTCAGAGGTTTCTTGAACCTTCAGAGTTTGACAGCTATCGCAGTGGCCTTCTCACCATCTATGAGATCGCAGACCTTATATTTTCAAGAATGGTTGTTGTCGAGGAAGTCAACAGCCCTGTTGCTGGTCTCTGGGATGTAGCTCGTAAAAAGAGGCTGTCGATCCTTCAGGGGTTCCAGCAAAGTTTTATTGATAGAACCACTGCCTTGAGATTACTGGAGGCTCAGGCCTGCACTGGAGGTATATTTGACCCCTCATCAGGCTACAAGTTCACAGTCTGTGAGGCAGTAAAACGAGGTCTGGTAGATGAAGCATTAAAACAGCAGCTTCAGCAGTTTGAGCAGGCTTTTAAAGGCATCGATCAACCAAACAACGCGAAGAAATTGTCAGTTTTCCAGGCAGTGCAGGAAAATGTCCTCCCCAAGGACGTGGGATTTCGCTGCATTGAATTCCAGCTCCTGACCGGAGGTTTGATAAATCCCGACACTCATGACAGAGTCTCACTGGAAGAGGTCATTCAGAGAGGTCTTGTGGACAAAGCAACCGCCTCCATTCTGAAAGATGAAACGCTCCACAACAGAAGCCTCACCTGTCCCAAGACCAAGAGAAAAATCACATTCAAAGAAGCCATTGACAGAAGCGTCTTTGACTGTCACACTGGCCTGCGGTTACTGGAGGCTGTGAAAATCCTCGGTTCCGAAGCCAAGTCAGCGTTTCTTTACGCTCGTGCTTATAACAAATAAACATTTGCAAATGCATGATTGTACAAAGCTTTGGGAATAAACCTATAAAAAAATAGTTATTTTTTTGAGTTTGAACAATAAACTCACAACTAAAATCCCCTGCAATAACAACCAAAGGAGAGTGGTGATTTATGGGAATAATTTATTGAAAATAATTAAAATTATTGAATGGTTGAAAAAAAAATCCATTTTATCATTCAGTGAACTTTAATGTGGTGTATGACCTCTTGGACTGTGTTGCAGGATTTACCTGCTTCTATGTTACCAAATGATTTCAGTTTTTTAGGACATTTTAATTTCACATTTATACAACTGATGCTCTTTAATGGTCAATATATGTTTGATTACAGGACTGTTGCAACTAATGGTTGTGTTTTGTATTTGATTTAATTATTCATTTGTTGTGGCACTGCACCTATTTTCTGAGGCTCCCTTTTTAAAAAAAAAACAAACAAATAACACTTCATGTTGAATATCCCTCTGTCCCCACTGTAGAGATCTGTTGATGAGGAGAAGAGAGAGCACACTGATAAAGTTAGTAAACTATTGCACTGGGTGAAACAGACCACAAACACTGATGGCTCTGCTGTGGCAGACAGCAATGCCAACACTGATGCTTCTAATAAACACAAGGTAAATAGCATTAATTCTTTTATGTTTTAATTCCCGTGTTGGGGTTTGAATAATGTATTTTCTTCAATTTTCTCATTAACTGATCTATCTTTTCTTTAAAAATCATAGTCTTCACTGTGATTTTCTCTCCGCTTTATATAGTTACTGGAGTGGTTGAACTTCCCTGGCTACATTTCCCTCAAATGCATATTTAGTGGTGTATTATAGTATATTCAATGTTCCACAAGCACAAATCCCATAATACCCCACTGAAAGCAAATTATAAAAATGACACATTTAGGGGAATAAAACTTAATCTTAATATTTTCGTTTTTTTAGCTATCCATATATAAGTAAATTGACACTAGCCATTGGTATTTTCTTAATATGTATTGATGATTTTACTAACTTAAATTCAAATAAAGATTGATGGAAAATATGGATGTTTAATAAACCTATTGTATGTTCACAAAGTATAATGAGCTATTTTAATTAAAATGTCCTTAATTAAAACTGAGATTTGTAGGTTGGTGAGAATTGTAGAATTGTGGTGGGAATTATATATATTATATATACATATATTATTTTTATATATATTTTATTATTTATTGTATTACAGAGTTAAAATGAATATCTTTTAAATGATTGTAACTGTCAAAACAATTTTATACGGGACTTGTCTGTCATATATCACAATAAAAGTAATCGCCTACACAATGCAAAACCTTGTCTTTCCATGTTGCAGGCATCAGTGGAGGAAATGGTCACGAAGAAGGAACAGATTGCAGAAGCACTGAGAGCCACACAAACGATGCTGAGCAAACACAGCGACAAGTAAGGAGACGACGCTGCAGTATGGCATGCAAAAGACTCTGCAGTGCTGAAATTCTTGACCTTATGTTTATGTTATGTTTACAGAATGACTGAAGAGGAGAGAGAAGAGGCCCAGGAGCAGATGAAGGCACTGAACCAGGCGTACAGTGAAGTCTCACAGCAGTGTTTGGACCAGACCACGTCTGCAGAAGAGGTTAGGAAACCAGTGCTGTTGAGCAGAGTAGATTGTTTGAGTCTTTTTGACAAACACTGCCACCTGTTGTGCAAACGCATGATCTTTTAACAATTTTTGACTCTTCACAGTGCAACGTCTGGTTTTGCATCCTTCACGTTCTTCTCTTTAACAGAAACATAAAGGACAAGTTCACTGTTTTAGTAATAGGCATGATGAGCTGAATATGCTGTAAACATGCTCAATGGTACTTCTAAGCTTTTGTCACGCATTTCACTATAATCTTTGTGCACTGTGCCACGTTGAACAGATATGATGCCTAACAGTATGTCCTTAGATTTGACTAACGGCCCTCTTTCAGAAAGATGTTGCATTCCTGAATGCATGATATCTTAAAGTGAATTATCCGTCACTCTTCTTTTGCAACGTTGAAGCAGCCTTGCACATCATGTTTTAACAAGCCCATGTTTGTGTGTTGGTGAGTAAAGAGTTTGTCTTGCTTTTGAACAAATAATTTCACATAAATAGAACGGTGAGCAAATAAATTCAGTGTTATAATTTAGATTTTTTTTTTTAATGCAGGATCCCAATTCAAGCCTTGGGAATGCTGAGCTTGGTAGTGGAACCAATGGTTCACTGACAGCTCAGTTGATGAGCAATGGTCAACATGTGACCTCTGATGCTTCCAAACGTAACCCTGGTTACAAATCAACCCCAATCTCTGAGGTGACTGATGCCAATAAGTGCATACAGAGCTCACACGTCTCCTCTGTCTTCCTCTCTGACGTAGCAGCAGCTACGAAAAGGCCGACATGTGATGATCTGGTCATCAAGGTAATAGAGGTCACCCCAGACAGTGATGGGGTGAAGGTGTGCTACACAGGTAGCCAACTGACCCCGGAGCAGGCACTTCAGTCAGGTGTAATACCTGCCTCAGTCTTTATAGAGATTCTCCAAAGACGACAGACCTGCCGGGATTTGACCATTTCTGAATGTGCTGACGGTGTGTCACTCTCAGGGCATGAGCTGGAGTTGGATCAGAGCAGCAGACTGATGGGAGCGATCCTCAACAGAAATAAAAACCTGAAACCAGGGAGGAATGTGAACATTCTGACGCCTGTTAGTGATGGTTTAGGTGATCAGGTGACTAGGTCACGTTTCTCTGATGCTCAGTTAAGTGTTAGCGCTGATTTAGACGATCAAAGCAAAAGGGAAATGAAGGAAGTTAGTGACAGTGTGAAAATGGACGCAGCCGTTCAGTGTGACCTGATGCGCTCCAGCAGCACACTTCTCGTACTGGGAAATAAGCAGCAGTTTATCGGACTTGTGTTGCCTTACTCTGGGGAAACTCAAACTGTTTCCACCTCAATCTGCTGCTGTGAAGAAACCAGCAGCAGTGACTATACCAGCAGTGTCTTCAGCAACTTGCAAAAGATAGTAGGTTTTTATATTCCTGAAACTTCAGAGATAGTAGACATCACCACCGCCATAGGTAAAGGCTTCACTGACAGTTACACAGCAAATATTTTAAAATCCATTGAACTTCCCGATGCATTTCCTGATCTCGATTACCTCAATCAGAAGTTTTCATCCTGGCTCATGTATAAAAAACTTAGAATCGATGGATTCTATAAGGATGCAGAGAACATACGAGTTGAATTCATCCCCAGTCCCACTGAAGCAAGGAATCTGTTTATCTCTTACCTGATGATGAACAGTTTCATTGATCCACAATCAGGACAGCGGGTTCTCATACTGGACAAGCAGCTGACAAAAACCATTAGGTACTTCCTTGATGATTTAATATTTTCAGAAACCCCTGATCAAAATGTTAGTTCTTTGACAGTTAATGCTGGCAGTCGTTCTGAACAGCTGAGAATTCGTGAGGAAACAGAGGAAGAAATTGACAGTGTGCACACATTTGAAGATTGGGAATTTGTTTCTAAATCAAATGGTAGGATTAGCTTCACTGAGCAGACCAAACATTCCTGCGATTCTGATTTGTCAGAAAAACTGGGGGTAACCTTTGATAGAAATACACAAAAGCTTTTTGATCCTTTAGTTTTTCCCTCAGACAACTGCAGTATCATGTTTGATGAGCAATCACAACCAACACGTGATCTTTATGAACTTACTCCCTCAAACAATGGCAGAAATGTCACTGATGGAAGCGCACAACAAATACATGAGCCACATGATTCTGTTTTTTCAGATAATGTAAGGGTCCTCTTTGATGAAAGCCCACAACAGTCCTTTGATTCCCATGATTTTGTTACTTCAGACTGCGGCAGGACTGTGTTTGATACAGAATTAAAATATAATCATGATTTAGTTTCCTCAGATAATCTGATGATTTATCAAAATCCCCCAAACAGCAGAGTTTCCTCTGTTGATAATCACCAACAAGCCTTTGATCCAAATAGTTTGGTTTGCTCGGAAAAGGTGGGAGTTGCCTTTGGTGATGATCAGAAACAGCCTTTTGATTCCAGCAACTTAATTTCCAAAGACAATGACAGAATAACATTGGACAGAGAATCACAACAGGTGTTTGATTCCCATGATTTTGTTGCCATTGACGAAGTGAAGTTGTCCTCTGATGAAAGTACACACCAGCTCTGTGATCCTCAGAAGTGTGTTTCTTCAGAAAAAGAGAGCATTACCTTTGATGATAATTTAAAGAATCCCTGTGATTCACAAAATTTACTTTGTACAGAAAAGGCGAGTGTTGCATCGGACGGTAACCAACAACAGAACTTTGATCCCCATGACAATGATTCCTTAGAGGTTACCCTTGATGATAATGCACAGCTGCCCATTGATCCCCACAGTTTTATTTCCTCGGAAAAAGTAAACAATGCCTTTAATAATAATCAGCAGCAGCCCTTTAATCCCCTTAATATTGTTTCCCCAGAAAAAGTGTGGGTTAGCATTAACAATAATTCACAACTACCCTTTGATGGCTATGATTTTATTTCCTCGGAAAAGACAAGTGTTACCAGTGCTGATAAAATACAGCAGCTGATTGATCCTCGAAATTCTGTTTCCTCAGAAGAAATGCCTGATGCCTTTGATGGAAATTCACAGCAGCTCTTTGATCTACACGACTTAACTGATCCTTCTGATTTACTTATCTCAGAAAATCCCCAAGATTGTGTTTCCTCAGCTGATGGAATTGCACAGGATGAGCAACCATATCACACACTTGGTTCTCATAATTGTTTATCCATAGAAGAACTGAGGGACACCTTTGATGACAGTCAACAGCAGCCATTAGATTCCTCAAATCTTGGCATAATTACTTCTGACGAGCAGTTACAACATACTGTAAATCCTCATGATTTTATTTCATCAGAAAAAGTCAGAGTTATATCTGATGATAAATCCTTTGATACGTCATTTGATCCACAGAACATTGTTTCCTTAAAGAATATGAAAATCAAGTTGGATCAGGAATCACAACTCAAATGTGAAAGCGAGTGTTTTACCTTCAGTAATGAATCACAGCACTCATTTCATTATAACGAATATGTTTCTTCAGGTGAGGAAAACACAAATCTCAAATTTTCTGTTGATCTGATTTCAGCAGACATTGAGGAAACCACACTGAGTGACAACACATGTTCAGATGAACCAGATAGTTTTGAAAAACGTTCTGATTCTTCTAGTTCTGATATAAGAAGGAAAGGTGTGTTCGATAATACCACAGATTTGACAGAGTCAAGAGACAAGACCTGTGATAACAGTAGGTTACAGGTAGATAAAGGAGACACTATTCCAGCTCTTAGGGAGTGTATGCCTTCTATATCGACATGTGTGGGAAGCACAAATACTGACTCATCATCTGGGAAGTGGGATTTAGAGTCTGCGGAGAAAGCGTTCTCTCAGACTGCAGAACATCTTAACGCTGAGTCAGTGTGCGGTATATCAGAATCCTACGATGTTGAATCTGCTGAGTTTTTATGTGCTGAGGACTTGTTAAGTGAACATGGGAGAGTGAATTCTAGTCCAGACATAGGATCTACATTGGAGGTGATGGAAGTTTCAGGTGTTAATTCTGAAATATATAGTATTAATTTGGATGCAGATTCCAAATCTAGTCAAATTGAAAATACAACAGAGGAGTTGTTTGATGTACAATCAGAACAAAGGCAGGGTGATGGTGGAGATCAGGAGCCCTCTCTGTCTTTTAATCAACAGACAACAAAAGAGGAACTCAGTTGCCCAAAGCTCTTTGTTCCTACAATGGTGGAACAAATCTCTGTACAGTCTGATGACACTGGACATGGTGCATTAGGTGTGAGAACTATAGTCGCTTTGAACTCCAAATCTGACTTTTACACAGAAGGAAAACTAGTTGACCATGGCTCAGATCAGGTTGTACACGCTGAGGACCAAAATGCGGGTCAACATAAGCAAGATGTTCCTGTGTTAACTAGAATAGAAGCAGGAGATCTTTCAGATGTTGAATCTGGGATATATTATGACAGTGATGCAGCTGTAAACGAAGGCCAACATGATGACGAGGCACTACAACCGGTTAGCCTACAGTCTGATCAGGAAGAAGGTGTCGCTTTTTCAAATGGTTCCAGTTCCCCCAATGTTTCTGAGTCTATAATGGAAGAACAAACCCTGATGCAGCCACAATGTACTGATGGTTACAGTGAACTATCTTTACAGCCTGGAGGGATTTCTGAAGGACTTGGCCTGCAATCTGAATCTGACTTTTACCCAGAAGATGTTGTAGTGGAAATGAACCCAAATAAGTTAGTAAATGCAGAGGGATTGGAGGTTCAACATGAGCAAGATTATGTTACTTATGTACTAAAAACAGAAGTTCGAGAAGAAGGTGGTTCTGATGGTAAATCTAAGAAATGTTATGAAGATGCAGCTCTCAGCAGAGGCCAACCTGGTAACACAGCATTAGGAATGGAACCTGATCTACAGGCAGAAGAAGAGGGAGGTGTTAGTGGAGATCAGGTGGACCTAGAAAAACAGCCATTGTCAGATATTCCTATTATGGAAGAACAAACCCTGTTGTTGCAAGGTAACACTGTTAGTTTGATTGAGTCTTTGGGGTCCACAGTTACTGAGACTGTAAACAGTCTAGATTCAAAGTCCAATTCAAGAGACGATTGGAGCCAATCATTGTCTATTGATCACCATCTGACAAATGGCGACGAAAATGCAGAGTGTTCGACTGAAGAGAAGACTGCAGACATGGTTAAGAAATTCACAAAAGAGGAGGCACACGCATTAGATAATGTGACACTAGACAATGTAGGAGATAAGAGTGATGATCAACAACCTCCCAGTCCTTCTGTGTCTGGTCTCAGTTCTCCAGTGAGCTCACTCTCCATATGTGATCAGGTTACATCAGAGTGCATCTGTCTCGCAGACACATCACCATTAGTGGTTGAAGATGTGGACCCATTGATCCCAGTCAATACCCAGCAGACAGATAGAGCTGATGTATCCAGTCATGAGATAGTAAGTGTCTGTACTTCTGTAGTCAGTGACAGAACCACTGACATCAGCCCTGATCCAGGAAGTGGCACTAGTCGCTCTTGTAAATCCGACTCACTCATTCAACATCATTCTGTCAGTGCTGAACACGTTCCCCTGTCAAGTACTGAATCACTGAGGGAGCGTGGCACAGACCAGGCGTCACCACATCACCCCGCATTGCCTGGGGAAACAGAAATGGTGAAAAACACGAGTGATGTTGAGTCACTTTTAAAGAATGAGCTAACCCCCAATATTTATGACTCATCTCCCCGGGGTTTGACTGAAAATGCAGTTACCTCAGTGTCCGGGCGTGATTGTAGCTACGGTGAAAACATTACAGATGATGGCAGTGGAAGTGCATTAGCTCAGAACATGGGAATTAACTCTGGGAGTGATTTTATTGTTGTCCCTGCTGATTCTCAAACCTCAACTTCTCAAAATGGTCAAACATCTCCACAGCAGAGCTCCTCTCAGTTACTATCTGGTGAAGATTCTCCTGAATCACAACAGACCAATAAGGAATTACCTGACATAAGGCACGGTGATGAGGACGATTTATGCCCAGACAGACTTTCCCCAGAGATGCAACATCAGTTCCCTGTCAGTCATTCTGAACAGCTTTCAGGGTCAGTGCAGGTGAAAGATGAGGTCATTGTGGATGGACGTGAGTGCAGTTTAAATCTACCCTCTGTGTCTTCAGACAACGGCTCAACACAGTCTGACAGTAGAAAAGTTGAGGAATTAGGATCTGAAAAATCACCCACAGCTACTGGTGCACAGACAGACCTCAGCAACACACCGGCTGTTCCCTCTCCAGCTCCATCAGTGTTTTCTATTGCCATGGAAACACATGCAGATAATCAGGAGGAAACTCAGCCTAAAAGAACTGAAAGTGTCATCGGTACAATCAATGATCGTCCTCCATCAGTGGGAAAAGATGACTGTAATAAAAGCGACACAATTCATGGACAGGTTGACAGCAATCACTCAGTTCTTATCAAGGATTTGCAAAAGGAAAATACCAGTTTGAATGACAGTGTGAAGGAAAATACTGAATTTACGATGAGTGAGAGGTCAGAACAGAATGATGCTCCAAATATCCAGCTGCAACCTATGCAGGTTCAAGAGCTGTCAGTGCTTCAGGAAGCAATGGGTACTCTGAACAGTGCCCCTAGTGGGGACTGTCAAGACAACCAGCTTGGCACGCTGGACAGCATCATGAAGGAGAGTCCGGAGGCAGAGGGTGAAAGAGCTCCGGAAGAAAACTTGTCTCCTCAAACAGATGCCTGCCAACAGGAGGAGGCCAGAAATAAGGTCTGTTTTGTTTTTCTTATGTAGTTATAAGTACATAATCTTCATAAATACAGTGTCATTTAATCTTCTTTTCTTCTTGTCTTTCAGTTTCCCTCTCAGCTGTTCTCCATCCAGGACTACTTGGAGTGTGTTGGGCGACTACAGGATCACGCCGATGTTTTAGAAGATCTAAGAAATGATATTTCAACTCCAGCAGCTGTTACAAATAATATGGATGAACTACAGGTCCAAATAGAGGAGTGTCAGGTAAAAACCCTCCATTTATTTATGTTTTAAATTTAAAAATGTCATTTAGCACACTTTTTCATGCGTTTGCTTTTTGTTTTCACCTTTTTTGTGACTAGTCTGTTGAGTCCCAACTGTCTGAACTAGCTGACGTCTTGGCAATAGATATGGAAAAAGCCAAATTACTCCTAAGTTCTGCTAATGAAGACATTCCTGTACAAATCCACCAAGATTTGGCCTCAGCACATCTGGAATTAGAGGCAAATGTTACTACTGTTTCCCAACTGTGTGAAGAAAAGAGTCACTCATTCATCCAAGCAATGGAAAGAGAGAAGGTTTTTATACAAATCAAACATGTGATGATTCCATTATTGAATCAAATCAAATCTTTGTTCCTGACCACATTAAATTGGTGTTTTAGGTTCAGTTGAAATCAAAGTACCAGAAACATCTGACTGATCTGGATGAGCTGGCAGGCCTGGTCCAAAAATACTCTGAAATCCAGGATGTGGATTTGAACGCATGTGATGTGGATTCACTTAATCAGATGATCCAGCAGAGCAAGGTCTCTATTTTGCCTCCCCCCTGCCCCCCCCCCAAAAAAACTGGATACATGTTTTTAATATCCTTCTGTCCTTTCTATTTCAGGACACAGAAAGCAGATTGCTGAAAGAAGTCAGACACAGTTTGGAGGATGTCACATTTGACATCCAGTGCTTTATTTCTGAGCATGCTCAGTTCTTGAGTGCAGCTCAGAGCAGCCACCTCCTCAAGTTCCTCAGCAGTACTCAGAGAGCTCTGCGGGACCAGACGGAAAAGATCGTAACTCATAGGACAACCTTAGAACATGTATTGGAGACGAAAGAGAACGAAAGCCATGCAAAGGTCGGCCTGTGAATGTAGTCTAAAATATCACAGGTTTCATTTTCATGAATTACTCCATACATGTGCTATAGCTAATGCTAAAATACATATGTATGGGAATGTGAATATGTTTTGCGAGTAATAACTTTTGCATGTTCCATTTCTGGATCACTTCTGCACACTAACCGTTCTGCTGCTTGTATTCTGCAGGGCCAAAGACAACAGTGAACAAGTACCAGGGGGGAAAATATGAATCTTCTTTAATGGAGCACTTTAAACCCACTAACACACAGTATAAAGTCCTAATGTGCATATTCTCATCACCAGATGAAACATGGCAAATGACAACAGAGCATGTTTACAGCATATTCTGTTTGTTGCTACTGTGAACAAGGGAGAACGTTTTAGGAGCAAATATTTCATGTCAATGTTCTCAAATACCACAATAATAATGGTATTTTGGTCCTTTGTGTTTTTATTATTAGTCTCTGTTAGAAAAGCACAAGCAGTTGACAGACAAACTGGAGGACGTGTGTGGCAATCTCACCTTGACTGAGAACCGCCTGATTGGTCATCAGCAGCAGGCTGAAAACACAGAGAGTGTCACGGATCTGCAGCAGTACCAGCAAGAACATCAGGTTTGACACATTTCTTTCCTTCTTCCTTCATAAGTCACTGGATTTCTGCTCATCTTTTCAAAGTTTTTATTTTTCTAATCTGTTACCATGTGTACGTCTGACCTAAAGGCTCTGCAAAAAGACGTGCTGACAAACGCCAGCGCCTTGAATGAGGTCATCAGCAGCACCAAACTGTTTCTGGAGGAAAATCGGAACAAGCTGACGCCAGATCAGATTGCAACTATTGAAAGCAAGTTGGAGGAGGCGAAAAGCAAAGCTAAGCTCATCAACGAGAGAGCAGAGGAGTCCAGGAAAGACCTGGAGAAGGCTGTGACCACAGCCATCAAACAGGAGAGTGAAAAGGTCAGGCTGCTTTCATTAAGTGCTAATACAGTGTTTGTAATTATTTTCTGACATGTTGTGATATTGGCATGGAACAAATCTGTACTTCAAGAACATGTGATGGATGTTTCTTTACAGGCTGCAGCTGTTGAGAAGCTTGAAGAGAGCAAGAACAAAATTGAGGGTCTTCTTGATTGGATCTCCAACATTGGAAATGAAAACGAGAATGTTTTAAATCACAATGACCGCATAAGTAATGAAAACGGAAACTTGCCAGAGCAAACAGCCGCCAAAGGAATATTAGAAGAGAACGATGATGCCAATGGGAACGCTCCACAGACCACTGAAAATGATTCTGGCAAAGAGACTGGAGGCAAGAGTGATGCATCTCTGGACCTGGATAAGCAATATGAAAGGGTCAAGGTACGGTGTGACCTTTTTTTTGGCGCTGTTATTTTTCCACCGTTTGACTTTTAATAAATTACCTCAAGGATTTGCTTCTTTTGAAAAGTTAAAATTGGAAATTCAACACATCATTTTTCAAAATATTGGTTTAAAACCAAATTTTAAAAAACAGATCTTGGTATTCTGTTTGTATAAAAATACCAAAATATTCCTCTTTCTCCCCTGCAGAGGGAGCTATGAACACATTTTGAAAGTTCAGTTCCTTGAGCTGATTTCACAAGTTTTAACATTCACTTTTGCCTCACCTTACCTTAACAATGTTGGACACATAAAAGTTTTTGCTAGCTTTGATTACTGAGAAAAGTCAGTCTTTTGATTTAAATTCTTCACATCTGTACTTTTTTTCTTATGTTTTAATGGCAGCTCCAATCATGCTATACTGCCAACTAGTGACAAGTGCAATGCAGAACAGCAAATAGAATGAAGCAAAGATTAGTGCAGAAATTGTAAAAATTAAGGAAAAAAATGTAATTGTCTTTCCTTTTGATATTCTCACAGGGTCATCATCAGCAAATTCTGTCCCAGCAGCAGGATTTACTCCTGGCTACCCAGTCAGCACAAGCTCTTCTTGACAAGCAAGCCAATGTGTTGTCTCCAGAGGAGAAGGACAAGCTGCAGAAGAACATCCAAGAACTGAAGGGACGCTACGAGGCCTCACTGACGCAGGCCGAGCAGCAGATGAAGCAGGTGCAGTGTGTCCAGGAGGAGCTGAAGAAGTTCCAGGGTGACTGTGAGGAGTTTGAAGGCTGGTTAGATCAGGCCGAGGGACAGATCGAGGACCTGGGTGCTCCTGCAGGATCTCTTAATATCCTGAGTGACAAACTGCAGCAACAAAAGGTTTTTGCAGAGGATGTGATTTCCCACAAAGGAGATCTTCGCTTCATCACGATCTCAGGACAGAAGGTTCTGGATGTGGCTAAAGCATGTGAACAGAGTGATCCAGCGGCTAAGAACACCCCGATGTTTGTTGACACGTCAGGAACCTGTTCTGCTGTCAAGGATAAACTGGACTCTGCAGCGAGTCGTTACAAAACACTACACTCACAGGTAATTGAGAATGCTGCACCCATTGTGACCACTGGGTGGCAGCATTAATCCATACAACTAGCCCAGAAATAGGGCTTAATTCTTCATGTTTAAAAAAATATTTTACAAATACTAAAAAATAATATGCATTTTTTTTCTCTTTCTCAGTGCAATCAGCTTGGCAACAACCTCAAAGACGTGGTTGACAAGTACAAGAAATATGACGACTCCAGCGCTAGTCTTTTCAAATGGCTCAACAGTTCAGAGGAAGAGGCGAGGAAGCAGCAGTCAGAGACCATAGCTGCCGACCCACAAACACTCCAGAAGCAGCTGGAAGAGACCAAGGCGAGAAACACTACAACATCCCTAATCTTAGTTCCTGTCAAGGAAATACACAAGAAAAACTCAATGGCCTGGTTTTTCTTTTTTTTATCTCAGAATTATTATTATTTTTTTAATACACACTGTACTGGACTAATCTCATGATACATCACGTTCTGGACTTTTATGTAATGATGTGGAAAAAAAAAGTTTTTCCTTCTAAAACTTATTCCTATTGTAAACATTCAGAGATGTCAGATTATGAATACAGCAAAGAGAGACATAGCAACAACAAAACCAGAACAGTGGTTCTCAAACTGAGGGATGCAGCATGGAGACAAACAAACACATTTCAAAGCTGGACATTTAAGGTCAAGAGTTTCAGTGCCATGGGAGCAACTTTAATTGGAAAAGATTTCAACATTTTCTTTCCACTTCACAGGCACAAGGTAGTGGAGAGGGAGTGGCCAATGCAGAGAACGTTTGTGGAACCATTGGTTTATAACCAGTGACTGTGTATTAAGGACATGGCACAGCAGGCCTGCTTTACCTTATACAGCGTTTCCACTTACTTAAAAACAACAGAGTTATTTTTAGCTCATTGCTCAAATCCAGACCCACACATGAGTCATTTAATTCTTGTTGTTTGTAGCTCAAGTTCCTCAACATGATGATAAGAACCAAGGCTGACACAGGCCTCTCTGTCAATGCTGCTGGCTGCAGTGAGCTGTATCGTGGTTCTATGTGGAGGTAGTTACTTACAGCACAGATGTGTCAAGATAACAGGCGCCTGTGAACTGACCCGAGGAGTTATGTGCTCTTGGCTTTGCTCACTGCAGAAACGTAAACTTCTGGAAGCGTATACAAAGTGAGACAAGTCACTAAGTTCACAGTATGATGCAAGGTTTGGTTGATGTAGTCCAGATATTCTGCTATTACATCATCCCTGGTTTAATGACTCTATTCACTGAGATCCTTGGGAAATAACTTTAGAGGTTGAGTTTCAACTCTTCTTCAGTTCTGACTCAGATGTTTAGGACCAGGTCTGATTATCTATCTATGGGCTGAATATCTGAATAGACAGTCGTTATGTTGAACAATGCAGGACGCTCACACCTTGACCAGATTTAGAGGGTGATTAGAACAACCTTACGAGAGACACTACTTAGAGTTGGCATCTCAAATGTGGGTCCAGGTACTTACATCTTACATCTTACAACTTTTGAGGCTAAAGGAAAACTGGAAATGAAAAGTGCAAGTCAACCTCTTGGTACACATTTATTCTATGGGTTGACTTTCTGCCGCAGTGGTAATGAGATTGGGTTTGAATCCCTCTTTGGCAATGTGTTCTGCAAAGACCAGAAGAAATTTCTTTACTCCCTGAGTGATGTGTTAAATGCAAAGGACACATTGGTTTTTGTATATATATGTAATGTATGCAATGACCAACTAAAGCTGAATATTCTTCTCATTGATCAACAGGCTCTCCAAAGTAAAATGACAGGACAGCAGACGGCTGTTGAGACACTACGCAAAACAGCCGAGTCTTTGATAACATCTGAGGGAGATCTGCTGACCAACCCAGAGGAAATCCAGGAGACAGTAGGTGAGGAAAAAACCTAGAAGCAGGCAGTGTATTTTTACAGCGTCTACACCAGTCATTTGTTAACATGTGGTTTACTGTATAACAACAGTAGAGTAGTGAGAAACTGCTTGGATTGAAAAAGTAACCTGTGTTCTTCAGATGACATCGCGGAGCGCTACGACAACCTGTCCAAGTCTGTCAGCGATCGAAATGAGAAACTGCAGATCACTCTGACTCGCTCCATGAGCGTCCAGGACGGTTTGGATGAGATGATGGCATGGATGCAGGGGGTGGAGGCCAGTGTGGAGGAGAAGGGACAAATTCCACTGGACTCTGCATCTATTGGCGATATCCTCAGCAGAGAAGCGGTGTGTATTCTTACTATTGTTTCAGGAAAAAAAAACTGACCTGCTCTGCATTAACATTACTGTTTACACCATTGTATTTTCAAAGGCGTTAGAGCAGGACATCGCAAGTCGCCAGAGCAGCATCTCAGCCATGAAGGCCAAGGTGAAAAAGTTTGTGGAGACGGCAGACCCTTCAGCTGCTGCTCTCCTGCAGTCAAAGATGGAAGCTCTCTCCCAGCGCTTCTCCGATGCCTGCGACAAGCACCAGCGGAAGGTTTCCCAACTGGAGGGGCTGAGAGAAAAAGTGGAACAGTTTGAGTCGATTGCAGATAAAGTTCAGCAGTTTGTGGTGAGATCGACGCAAGAGCTGAACGAAACAGACAGTTCCCTTAAAACCTTTGATGAAATGTCGCAGCAGATGCAGGTGAGGTGACTGCCGGGGTTTTAAAGTGACAGTAGCACTGAGATGTGTAAACCTTTATAGTAAATAACAGATTTTTTTTTTATTTCTCGGCAGAGCACCAAAACCGAGATGGCTGAGCACGCAGATGACTTGGCAAAGCTGCAGCAGCTTTGTAAAGAGCTGTGTGAAATAAGTCCTGAGGGGAACAAAGCCCAAATCCAGAGCAAGGTGGAGAATCTCACCAATGTTTTCTCCACCTTTAAAGACGGTGTCAAAGAAAAGTAAGAATATTCTTCAAGTTAATTCTTTTATTATTTTTTCCTTCTTTGCCATCACAGTACATTTATTGCTAGTCCTGCATAGATATAGAGATGCTTGAATTAATGGATTCATATCTGCTGCAGGGAGGAAGAAGTATCATCCTGTCAGGAGCAGCTGAAAGAGTTCAGATCTGCAGCCAGTTCTCTCAACAAGTGGCTGGCGGAGACGAATGAGAAGGTACCTGCTGTTCAGTCGAGCATCAGTGAGAAGAGTCTGGAGAAGGACCTGCAAAAAGTCACTGTGAGTCATAGGATAAATAAAATGTCTTTTTCCAAAGTGAGAGTGAACTGCATTTCGTCTGACGTCACTTTAAAGATCTTTAAAGGCCGTCAAGGTTTTATTACATGTGTATTCTGTATTTCACATTGACTAAAGTCATTCTTCTCTTTCCACGCTGTGAAAAATACTAATCTGAAAAGTTCTGTCTACTCTTCTCTGTGTCTGTTATTCCCTGTAAACTCCATGTTATAAATGTCATATATTTCATCCTAGCAGTAATTTTTATTATTTTTATTAGGAACTGCTGGATGACTGGACGTCTAAAGACCCTGCCGTCCAAGACCTGAACAGTAAAGGTTCATCGCTGTGTAACCTCATCACTTTCCTCACATCACCGGCCAAAACAAAGACCCCTAACAAGTCAGGTAAACACCACCGCAATAAACCTCCTGCAGTAAATCTGAAGCATTAGTGCAGCGGGACGCATGGGATCTGTTTTTACTCATGCCTACTGTGTTACTACTCACCATGGTCATCTTCCAGCTGTGGTTTGAAATGCCTGTCTTTCACACCAGCTCTTTCTTATGTCTCTGCATCAGCTCTTACTAACGGTGGTGGTCCGATGAACCATTTCTACCTAACTAATAAAGGTAATGATACGTGTATGCCAACGCTGATGTTGTATGACTTGTACTCTGCCAGCCTCTAGTTGCTCTTTGCCAAACAAATAGCAGCTTTAAAAAGCCACTTTAAACACTTCTGGGCTACGAATTAATG